GTACATCACAGGCGGTTGACTATGTTGCAAATTGTGAGTGCTTTAATGCTCCAGCTTGAGCTTGCATGGACCTTGACTTGTGGGAATCTAGGCAAGGAAAGGGCTTGGGGAGGAAAGGTGCAAGGGTGCTACATGTGCAGAAGTAAGCTAAATTGCCGCTACTGTAGGCTTAACCGACCCGCACACTGGCACACCTCGAGGATGGCAACGTCTTGGATGGGATTGATGCGCACCACCGTTGAGTCCACCAACACCCTGCGGTCCGTGTCGGGGCAGTGCACGGCAATCTGCGAGCAGAGCATTGTTGCATGAAGCTTACAAGCATTGTGCAAGGCGAGGTGGTAAGAGGGCCAGAGCCATGCACAGCACAAGAGGCATGCCTGCCTGCATGATTGGTCACGCTAAGAACAGCAGCACTCCGCAGCAGCAGTGCTATAATATGAATGCCGGGGTGTTGCTATGTTGATACACATGCGCAGTTGCACCAGCAACAGCCCAAGTCAAATACCATTCATAAGGCAGCAGCTCAAGTCAGACTCCATTCACGAAAATCGGCAAACTGCCTCATGTGGAGCTCCTACTCTTATGATGCCATGCACACCTGCATCTGTTGCCCAAGTGTCCATTTTCCATGCCTGCCGTGCGCGAACATTGCCACGTGGTGCGGCCCAACCACCGTGGCCGCCTCCTTGTACGGCGGATAGTTGGGGGGCTCCACCACCAGGTGGGCGGCATACTTGGAAGAGTAACAAGCGCGCGCCCTGATGGTTGCCGTCACGTCGGTCCCACCTGCTGCACCTGCATCTATTGCAAACACAAACAAGCAAACAGAGGTGCTCGTTGGGAGCCCAGTCGCAGGCCCAAAGCAGCGCAGTGAAATGACGAAATGTCTAGGAATGTGCTGAGCTTCCACAAGCAGCTAAGTTTGCAGATGCATGCCTGTTTTGATTGCCAATGGTAACACAAGCGGGCAAATGGTAACACAAGCTGGGTGTTCAAGTTATCATATGCTGTCATCTCAGAATTCAATTATGTAATACACAGTACCTTTTGAAATGAAACTTAGCCCGAGAGGCGTTGATGTGACTTTGAGCTCGGTCAATTGAGGCAGTCAAAGTTGTCTCTGCTCATTGATAGGAGAAGCCCAAAATCATATTCTAGGCTGTACAAATCCTGGAAGCCCTAATGCACTGATTGGTTCAGTAACCCATGGGTTACCAATGGGTTACCCACCTTCAACCCCCGGTAGACCTTTGGTAACCCCCTTGTAAGTTCTTATCCAGCAGGAGGGGTAACACGGCCCCAGGGTAAACCCCTCTGTTGCCCAGGACTATGGACATATGTATGGGCCTATAGGCGACTCGCCTTACATGCTTCCCACATCGTAAATTCCGCTTAAGGATACTAGTAAAAATGTAAACATTAGCAACCTACAGTATCTTGGTATCTCGGGAAGCATCATTTGCCATTTCAACCTTAAGGTCTCTAATGATGGCATCACACATGCAAGGAATAAGCAATAAGTACCTATCTCTTGGCCTGTTACGAGAGCTTGTAGATGAGTACAGGAGAAGGCGTGAATGCTGGCAGCACAGGTCTTCACTAAATGGGTGCCTTTGGTTGTCATCCATTGTTATATAATAGTTCTCATTGTGAAAACATCAGGCAATCAGTCCTGAGGTTGGCCAACATATTACCGGCCAGGGGTGGTCATACACATATGTGCATGCTGCTTTGCCTCCATTGATACTCCTGACAAGCACATTCAAGCTTAATCACAGCTAATTAGCTTGTAAGCTCATATAATGCACACTCTTGGCTGGTCTTATAATTAGATCGACATGCTAAAATAAGCGATGACCACTATCACCAATTCAGTCAATCATATTCCTATTGACCAAACATACAATGGACACATACAATCCACATTGCAATACTGGTGTGTATGGTGGCAAAAATGGTGGCATCCTAGTATTTGCGTGCATGGACCACTACAACAAGACTGTTGACTGTCCTTCTGCAGCACAGGCCCACACTTATGATGGACCTCATTTAGCAAGACATCCAGTGACATCCGAGGATTTTTACCGCCTTACACTTTGCCGGGTGTGGCCATATTCGGGATCAAACATCCGGATCTCCCACCCAAGACCCTAGACACTCTTAGGAGAGGCTCTCCTAAGAGCCTGCTCTGAAAACGAGCGGACTCTGGATGTTGCATAGGTCGTGCATAGAGCTGGAATTAGCAGGTCGGGATGGGGCACTTAAGCTACTGGCCGACCTTACATTGCTGCCTGTTGGCTGATCAATGAGTCTTAGGTCATGAACTGGTCCATGAGTCTTAGGTCCGGAGTGGCGGTAGGTGCATGGATCTTTTGATAGGAATATTTTGGATCCTTTGTGTAGCAGCTGACCGCTGAAAAGGTCTCTCGAGTTGCTGGCGGTCGCGCTCTGCGCATATTTATAGCTCTGCGTGTATTTATAGCACCATACTGTGTACCGGCTGCTACATTCCCCCCCCTTTGAAGGGAACCGTCCCGGGCCCTTTAGAGCCTCGTATACCGCCAGCCTGTGCCTACCTTCTCCTACCCTCGGGCAGTGGGGTGACCAAGCCCATGCGCCTAGCCTTCAGAGGTGACCAATTCACATGCGCCTAGCCTTCAGGTTTTTCAGGCACAGAGACAGTCCAGTCGGTTCAGCTACTTTTTTTTATAGTTTTTGTGCGATATTCGCTCACTGAGTCGCCACACCCGAAATACCACTCAAACGTGATCGGTGGGGGTTGAACCGACGACTTCAGGATCGTGAATTTTCACGAGGTCTCGATACCAAATGTAGCAGCTGACCGCTGAAAAGGTCTCTGAGTTGCTGGCGGTCGCGCTCTGCATGTATTTATAGCACCGTACTGTGTACCGGCTGCTACACTTTGATAGGGATATTTATTGGCTTCACTGGTGGCTTCTCGTGGTTCCCAATTTGCTCTGCATATGTACACCTGTTCGTCTGCCTCCTTGCATCTAGGCTGCAGCTGTGTGCCTTATCCTTAGGTTTAGGTTTCTGAACAAGGCATGCTTTGGTGCGGCAATGTCGATAATTGGGCCTTCACAAGTGATTGGTGAAGACATGTGCGTTTGTGAGTGTAAACAGGCGACACAGGCGCAGGTGAATGTAAACATGGGTCTGTTACCCATCAGTAGTGTATTACCCTGACCCCTTTGTTACCCCTCGGTAAGGGGTTACCCCTACCCCGGGGTTAGGTTACCCACCTCCATACATAGCCACATGGGTAACCCCTACCCCTACACCCTGGGTTATGCCTTGTTTTATGGGGGGGTTACCCCTTGTTTTATGCCATAGGGAAGGATTGGAGCAAACTTAATTAGTCTATTTAAAATAAATTTCCAAGCAGCTAATATACTTTTGAGATGTTAACAAAACATTACTCTATAACTAAATGTTAATGTAATGACTTCTTCCTAAATATAA